CGATCAGCTTAGCACAAAAAACTAATAAAGGCAACTGACTATGAGGTCACTTTGATATTAAAAAATAAAATAAAATAAAATTTATATAGATATACTATCTAATTTAGTATTAATTACAAACAAAATATATAATTTACAATCTATAATATTTACTTATAATTTTATACTTATTTTTTCTATATATTTAAGTTTAACTAGCTTATACTAAAAGCACTTATTACAAAAAACAACTTACTATCAATATAGTCTATTAGTGCTTCTAGGTCCGGTTTGAGTTCGGTCTGGTCTGGGTCCAGTCTGGGATCGAACTAGACTCAAACTTAAAATTTTACTAATCTCAAACTTTGAACTGAACTCACACTCAATTATAAGTTCGGTTTGGATTCAGTTCGAATTTTCAAACTAGTTTGAGTTCGGTTTGAATTTTTAAACTACCTTTCTATTTTCAGCAATTAATTTAAGTATTACCAGAAACAGAGTGATATTAAAAATTTCACATAGTGCATGGTTATACAGCAAATTAAATAGTGTTTATACACAAAATCTTGCATTTTATTAGATATATGAATATGGTGAAGCAAGGGTGCGAATGCATATTGAAACTTCGTATGTTGTATCTTCACATCTGATATAACACTTGCTCTTGTATTTTGTATTATATGAGATTGTTAACCTAACTTTTTATGTGCTATATCTGATTCAGCATCTAGATAAACTTCAAAGTTGTTTAACTTTTTCTATCCAAACTGCACACTGAGCTTCAAGTATTTTATTGCTTAATTCCTTCTGCAGTTTATAGAATTAACTATTTGCAGTTTTAGCTTTTATAGTATTTAGTGTTATTCATTATTAAGTAAGTTGGATAACTATATAATTCTTTACATTCTATTTTTAATAGATAGTTTTTATCCTCTTTACTATCTTGGCTTTTATAGAAGCTGATATTTCTAGGATTACATTTTGGACGACAGATATCTTCTTTTTAATTAGGATTATAGGCAAGATCTTTTTCTGTCTTTATTAAACAGTGCATATATATTTTCTTCTCCTTATCTTTATTTAGATTTATTTTTCTGTTACTCCACTACTTACTAATATGTATTGTCTTCTTTTGATTTTTTTTTTGATTAACATATTTTCTTGCAGAGCTATTCTATAAATTATTGCTAGACTGGGTTTTATAATTTATGTTTTGAAGCTTTTTTAAATTTGGAGTACTTGTTTGTATCTGATTGTTGAAATGAAAGCTTCTGTCTTTTTCTCTATTATGCTATTTATTATTAACTCGTTTAATTTTAGGTCTCTTTCCTGATTGAGGTGTTTTTTTGTATAGCTTTTCTATAACTCATTGTTTGGCAGAATCTTATAGCTACTTGAAGTTTTGTCATTAGGCTTAGAGCTTCCTTCTTGTTCTACTGTTTCCTTCTTTACATAATAGCACTCAGTTCTATCCTCATTCTTATGACTTTGCTTTAGATATTTCCTATTACTATAGATGGAACAGGTTTGATGTTGAGG